GCTTTAGAGAAAGATCAACATTTTAACACCGTTGAGGAGGAATGAATCAAGGTAAAAACAATATATGTGACTTAGAAGAATATTACATACATTGAAATCTACATCCATATGTTTAATAGGGGGGCTGCTGATTTCCATTGCAATTATTCATATGCTGCTTATTTCCATATGCTGCCATTACATTAGAGCAATTAAAAATCTTTCTGATAATAAGACTATTAGCTTTTCCAACTGTGTGTTAAAACTGGTATAAACTGAATCAAGAATCTGAGGTCAGATTTTTATAAAATTATTTTATAATCCAAAGTCATCAACATTTGCATTGACTTCGTGGTTGTAAAGTTTAACTATAAACATTTTTTTTTTAACTAGAAATCCAGCATTCATCCTTGAAATAAATTCATAATGATCGTTCTGGCCAGATTTCAGAAAGCTACATGCAGTAGCTGGCAATGAAATTCTAGCAGGTACGGCCAAAACAGACACCAAGACATTTCTTGAATTTGTCTAGGCTTTGCCAGTAGTTTGTGTGATTAAAAAATGTCAAGCGCATTCATTTAAACATTTATATAAAACATTACAATTTTTTATTTTAAATGGACATTCAGTTAATAGATTCCCATAATTTTTATTTAAAAACTATAAAAACTTCAAAATTGCTCAGATCCAAAATGAGGTGTTTCATTTGACCTGAAGCAAAATTATCCTTGGCTTTTTCATTTATTGACAAATTAAAAAAAAAAGAAAGAAAAAAGAAAATTTAGGATCCACTAGAGACAAATTATTTTCAGTGCTCTGGAAGTGACAGCAAACTGAAAAATCAATTATTTATATGGCTCCGCTGGCACCAGTACTATAGATTCTGTGTGTTTTGACTAGGATTGAGGATTTACAGCTGATGTCGTGAAGGAAGCTTCTTGTGTTTGGTTTCATCAGATGAGCAATTAACTGCTGAGCCTTGACAAGGTAGAAAGGCTGACCTAGACAAAAGGCTTAAGAGCCAAATGGCCAGCAACCATAGGAACCAGCAAATAGGGAGCAATAAATAGGAGTGGTTGGGTGGGATGCGTCGTTGGGTGAAGAAGGAGCAGTCCTTGTTCCTTTGGGTTAATGACTGTGTTTGTTTGTCTGTTGCCTGGTGGTTTGTTTGGTTGCAGCTTGTAGTCTACAGTCAGTTTGGGGGAATGTTGTGAGGAGGACAGAGACCGTGCAACTGATGTTAGAGAATCAGTGTTGACAGATAGTTAACTGCTAAGCCTTAATAAGGCTGCACCTGGCCAAACATCCAGGGATCAGGAAGGGAAATGAGCAGGGAAATTTTCAGGGGAGTTTGGGGGATATTTTTCCTTCTTTCATGAAAGGTGGGGAAAAGGAAGAGAATTTGATCCATGGCAGCAGACACAGCAGTGGAGGTGACCTGAAAAGTTGCAGAGAAAGCAAAGATGTCAATGCAGAAACTACAGGATGAACATTATCCTTTAGCTGACACTTGGCAGAAGCTATTTGCATACCGGGTGTCACCTGGTAGAACCCTCAGAAGAGAATAGCAAAGGACTAGAGACTCACATGATGATGGTAGAGTTTAGGCAGAGATTTACATGATGAAGGGCAGGAGATTGCATGGACAACTTGAGATTTGCAGACACTGTAGACGCCTGCTGAAAAAAGGGGCCCAGGAGGGTAGACTGCTCTTCAAAGAGGGTGACTCATAAAAGCATATGATAACAAGGACAAAGCAAAGGAAGAAAATGGCTACGGGAGGAGAAAAAGAACTGAGGTGGTTTTCTACACTGGAAAATGAAGGGGCAAAAAGGCAGGAACAGAAGACTTGTTGCAAGGAAGAAGTGTAATCACTTAAGCAGGCTTAGCATAAAATTGCTATTTTAAGGCACATTGAGGGCATGTGTCTACACTTGCACACTAGGGCTGTGCAAAGTTTTGGGTGCTGGTTTGATTTGGAGGAGATTAGGCCCGATTCGGTGGCCGAATCTCTGAATCTGAATCAAATCAGGGGACCAATTGAAAGGTCTGAATCAATTCAAAGCTCTCCGAATCAATTCATAAAAGATCCTGAGAGCTTCAGTGATTTGGGCAGTCCCCACCTGCTGCAACAGGGAGTTGGACCCGGACTACGAGTTGGTAAGTAGGAGGCAGGGGAGGAGGAACTGGAGGAGGTGGGGAGGGGACCATGGGGAGACCCCTGCCAGGTGCCATCCCCTGCCTGCTCCCCCACCTGCACTCCTAGCCTCCCTCATGGCTGCCCCGCCCACTCCAGCTCCTGGTGCTTTAAAAAAAAGGTCTGACTCACTGGTTGCTTCCTGGTGGGGGGGTGATCCCTACTGCCCCTCACTGCATGGGGGGCTTTGCCATGAGACCCCTGACCTCCCCTTGCTGTCCCAGCTTCATCATCATGGCTGCCCTTCTTGCCCCAGCTCTGACCCATTAAGAAAAAAAAATTCAGACTCACCAGGCTTCTGGGGGCTCATACAGGAGCCCCCCACACAGTGAAGGACAGTGTGGGGCAGCTGAGATCAACCCCCTACCTGGCAGGAACCGGTGAGACTGGGGTTTTTTTTCTTTCTTTTTT